TTGTCAATGCACTAATATATTCAGTAAGATTATTGTGACTATATATGGCTATATGGCTCCAGTAGGATTTGTAAAACGGTTAAATTGTTAAGACTATATTCAACTCCCTGAAACATGGCTTTGATTATTGATTAATGTGATAGAAACATCAGGTTATACATGCACTTATATGTATTTTCTTTTACACACAGTGGATTCTTCAGAGACTCCAACTTCGGTTGACACTGACAGTAACCGGAATTCCACACCTCCTACTCAAGAGGCAGCCGTAGAAGTAAAGACAAGAAAGAAATTTGATCCAGCATGGGGATATTGTACATAGTTCAATGAAGGAGGAAAAAAGAAGATCAAATGCATGTTCTGTAATGATGTATTTGCAGGAGGAGGGATCCATCGTTTTAAGTAGCATTTAGCCAAATACCCAGGTAATGTGGGAGCATGTAAAAAAGTTGATCCTAAGGTTGAGCATGCAATGTTTCAAAACATTGAAGATTGGAATGAGAAGAAAAAGAAGGCACAAGTTGTGATGCTGCACCTGAAGATTGATGCCATGGAAGAAAGTGATGAGATTATGGACAATCGGAACCATGAAAGGGAGGAAGATCTATTTAATTACGATGGTATTTCATTTGATGTTGGTGGACCAAGTTGTGATGTTGCACCTGCAGATGAATGGGATCCCTTGAATTTTTATTGAGTACTATCTACTATGTGTTGTGTCTGTGACTTTGTATCTTTTTAGCATGAACTTGTTTGAAACTTTTAGCATGTCAGTATGTTATCACGCATTTGATATTTTGTACTAAAGAACCTGCGAGCTTGTGGTGCTGTTGCTGTATGCTGTGAGCACTGAGTGTGAGCTGTGACAATGACAATGTGCTGTGAGTTGATATTTCTATGATGTATGAAGTATGAACTATGTATGAAGATGAAACTTAAGTTATTGTGAGTTGTGCAATTAAATTTAAATTTATGTTGTTTATCATCTGTCAATTATATATATATATATATATATATATATATATATATATATATATATATATATATATATATATATATTCGTCCGATTCAAAACAATTGAATCGGCGGTTCAACCGGTTCTAAACGGTTAGACCAGTGAACTAATGAACCGATGGTCTCACCGGTTCGATCTCCGGTCCGATCATAATAACTTTGCTCGGGCTCGCCCAGAATATCCCGATCGAGGTTAATTATTGCCTCATCTTTTTGCTGATCAAATCTCACGTTGGTGGCTGGCCATACGGGGAAACCAACAGCCCAGAGGAGAATACTCCTGCATGCGAGACCGTGAAGCTACGTACACTACTAGTAGTTGGAAGGACATGCAGAGGATATTGCACAGGTTTTATTGGTATATACAGAAGAAAGAAAAAACTTGCACGGTTCTGCAGTGCAAGAAACACAGGTGAGCTGTGAGCGTGCACGGGCAGGACAAGATCACAGGACGGGAGCCATCTCGCAAGATCCACGGACTGTGTGATAGGAGTGGTATTTGTGCTGGTACAGGGACAGCACATCCGTACGTGCGTGCGCACGCCCGTACCGTACCGGACGACGAAGTGTGCAGCGCACCGCAGTACGGGGAAGTCGGCAACGTACTACTAGTACGGCACTCCTTTAAATAAAATTTTCAAAAAATGTCCTTTTCCTGAAAATTCACAGTACAGTACATATCGTCAAGTTGCAAGCCACTTTTTTACAGCACGGGGTCAGGAATGGGGCCTACCAGAACGAACCCCGCGGCGCGGCACGCTCGGGCACTCGGCACGGGAAGCCGTGCGCGGGCGGGCGCCCACGACGACAACGACAGCGACAGCGCGGAGCTCTCCTCCGTCCTCCACTCACCAGCGCCGCTCAGTCACCTTCAACTTCAACAACCCCACCAGTCCACCACGGTCACGACGAATATCTTCAATTCAACAGCTGCACAGTATTTTACCACCAACCAGTTCGTGTCCGACGATGACGATAAAATGTTGCATTTGTCATCCTGGCTTAATGAGCTCGTTCGGATGGTCTGCCTCGATCGGCTTACCTTAAAAACATTTCTACGGTGTTTTTGAATAATATTTTTTTTTATAATCAAATAGTATACAATATGTTTAAAAAGCAGAATAAGTTAAAATAAATTCCCTCCTCATCAAACGTCCAAATTCTGTTTTCAATCCCGACCTGTATCATTTTCTACTTTTGTTCTGCCCGTTTTGTGCGAAAATTATACCTTGTTTTTTGATGCATTTTAAAAAGGACCTGAAATGCATAATATATTTGTTATGTACTACACTAAAAGTTTTTGTCAACATGTTAACATCCACAACATACACATGAATAAAACTAATGCAGATCATACTGTTGGTATGTAATCTTGCCTTAAGGGAGTGGCACTAACTCCCTAAAAGTCAATGAAAGTCATATGACACATTTAATTAGAAAATACACAGCACCAAAACTTAAAAAAGCTAGAAAATCGGTGCAGTTCATGTCATATGATGTAGTTGGGCACCTTTGGACCCCACATATAACAGATCATCAAAACTCTTAAAGTTTATGTAATAGTGTGATGAACCAAATTGGAAGAAAAGATGTTTCAAATTATAATATAGGTATAAATATAAATTTTAGATATTTAGATAAGAAAGATATAGAATAACTAAGAGTTGGCATTCAGATAATATAATAATAGGCTATTATATTTGGCACTTAATTGTTTTATTTTGTTATTTTGAGTCATGTTTCATCAACTTTGTGGTTACACATTTTCAGTCAAGATCCTAATTAGAAATTGCTACCGATCCTCGTAAACCATACAAAAAAAAACACATTACCCAAAAATTTAGGTACATGATAATTCAGGGTAGGTAGAGCAAAATATAATAGGGAAATGGTAAGAGGACACATACCTTGGATGCAAAAAGGTGAAATCCAATATTTGGTACTAAGAAAGTTTTTTGCTATGCACAAAACTAATGCAGATCATACTGTTGGTATGTAATCTTGCCTTAAGGGAGTGGCACTAACTCCCTAAAAGTCATTTTGAAACAATTTTGAATGAATTTCAGTAGCATTTTAAAGTGAATAACTATGATGTCTACCAAAAAAACACATTACCCAAAAATTTAGGTACATGATAATTCAGGTTCAGGTTTTACCCGAGAATACCCGAATTTGACAAAACCAACAATTTTGAATGAATTTCAGTAGCATTTTAAAGTGAATAACTATGATTCAAATCAGTTCAAGTCTTCTATCAATTATATCAATTATCAAGCCATCATAAATCTACGTTGAGCCATATCAAACACTGCACAAAAACACTTCATGTCTTCATATTAGAAATAGAATAAGAACATTATTGGTACGTACATGTATACGTAGTTCGGGTACCAAGGAACATGACCTGAACTAAATTCTGGTTTTTACAAATGCTATCCGAAATTACGATCGGGTATTTTTGGGTTCGAATACTTCGGGTTTGAGTTCGGGGTATTCAGGTCCAGGAATTGGTATTGGGTATTTTGTCCACGCCTAAAAATAAACTATAATTTGGAATGGAAGGAGTGGCTTTCAAATAAATAAATGTGGAGGAGCACTATTTAAACCCATAAATATACATCTATATCTCTTATAAAGCTAATTGTCACTAAAAGTTCTATCTCAACATGCAAACAGTCCACGTCATCTTTCAATAATAGTCATACCATCGCACTAACTTTCAAGTTCTTAATGCAAGCTATTCATATCATCTCTACTAAACACAATTACTACTTTCAATATGTAAGAAATATAAAAAACATACATATAGTGTTATTCGTTTTATAGTTTCATCATCTTATAATTCGATCTAATTCTGTTAGTTTTGTATTTAATTCTTTCATTGTCATGTCAATTTTTGATAGAAACAGATGTAAAAACGTGTAGATTTAACTCATAAATGCAACGGTATTATTTCAAAAAAAAGGTGGCGTAGCAAACCCATAGGGTATCATTCTAGTAGTTATATAAAACCAACAACACGACTATTAATTATTAATTAACTAAAACAAGGAAACGGATTGGACAGAGGTTTTAGAGACTGAAAATGGTGTGTCGGAGGCCCTGAGAACAACCCAATGTTCATGTATAAACAAAAGAAAAGAAAAAAACAACGAGTATTTGTTGGCCTTTTTCTCTGAACTGTTTGGGTAGCTTGAGTGAAAACTAATATCTTGAAAGTGTTCCTTATTTTGTTACTAGACTATTTTTCAATTTCTCTCAATTTATGGACCAAACAAGTCCATAGAAATATATGGATGCGGCATCCCAAGTACTCGCGTTCTAATACCTGGCTTTGGACAGTTCCTAAGAAACGTTACCGCAACTGTAACCCTTGCTGATAAATGTTTCTGCTGTTATCGTGGCACGGTAGAAAGAAGACGAAGGCAAACGATGAAGTGGCCACCGTTATGGTCTTCTTCGTTTTTTTTATAATCTGTATTTAGCTCATTTTTTTAGTTAAAATAGTGTTTTTCTTTTATAATAAATTAGTCGAAACAGTATTTTAATTTATATTTTTTAGCTAAGCGGGGCCTACGTACAAAACATAATAAGGCAACGTCGAAATACGTAACGTCCAGTACAAGTATACAGAGAGAGCTGAGAGCTTGCCCCCCTTGGATAGATTGCGTACGTCAGGCTGTCAGCACAGGTCGGGCCCCAGGAATCCAAGAGGCGCTGGGCCCGCAGGCCGGCGTGGGGGCGACCACATCAGCTGGGCTTTCGAATTCCGAAATGACACAGCGCTCGCTCGTCGCGCGGCCCGAGGAGGAAAAAGCAAGTAGGCAGGCAGGCAGGCTCACGGGAAAACGCTGATGCGAGGCAGAGGCCGAGGTCCATCGCAATAAAACCGCTCCCCACTGTCACCGCCCGGCGCCGGGCTGAGGGAGGAGGCCATCGGTCGGACGCACAGGGAGAGCAGAGCTCGCTCCGGGTCCGTCAGAGTGATGGCGTCCATCGCTTCGTCTCCCCCGCCGCTGCCGATGCTGTCGTCGCTCGCCGTGGTCCTGCTGCTCGCGCTGTGCGCCCGCGGCGGCGAGGCCAGGCCGCCGCCGCCGCTCCACGGCGTGCGCCCGCTCGCCTTCGACGAGGGGTACACCCAGATCTTCGGCAGCGCCAACCTCGCGCTCCTCCGCGACGGCAGGCGCGTCCGCCTCACGCTCGACGAGTCCACGGGTGAGCCGCCCTGCCATGCCCTGCCCCTTCGGTTTCTTCTTTCTCCTTCCGTGATTTCTGGCTGGGAGCCGGGGCGCGCATTGCACTTCTTTTTTCCCACATCGGTCCCCAGCTGGCAGCAGCGGAGGGACGCCGTTGCGATTTTTTGCTAACGCCCGGGTGTTGTTGGCGAAACCTCGCCTTCCTCTTCCTCCTCTGCTCAGGCGCCGGGTTCGCGTCGCAGGACGTCTTCCTCCACGGCTTCTTCAGCGCCGCCATCAAGCTGCCCGCCGACTACGCGGCGGGCGTCGTCGTCGCGTTCTACGTGAGTCGTCGAGAACTAACCAAATTTGTCCCTCAGGACCTCACCGGCCCGTCCAATGATGTTATGCTGAAAGACGATTTGCAATGCAGCTGTCGAACGGCGACGTGTACGAGAAGACGCACGACGAGCTGGACTTCGAGTTCCTGGGCAACGTGCGCGGGCGCGAGTGGCGGGTGCAGACCAACGTGTACGGCAACGGCAGCACCCACGCCGGCCGGGAGGAGCGCTACGACCTCCCCTTCGACCCCACCGATGACTTCCACCACTACTCAATCCTCTGGACCAGAGACCGCATCATGTGAGTTTCTTCTGTGTCTCACTCCCTTATGCTCGGCGCAGTTCGGGGAAGACGAAGCGCAACAGGAGGACGAATGTGCCTGCCTGCTGTGCGCTTGTGTGGGTCTCGCTCGCCTCTCAGGGGCCGGGGTTTGGCAGAAACTGGAAACGCCTCTCCTCTTTCTTTCTCCATGTCTCTCTGCCCGTGAACAAAGTCCTTGGGAGTCGCCGTCCTTTTGGTTGCCTCTTTTCCTGCTGGGCGCTCGCGTCGCCACCTCTGGCCCCGGCTAATTTGGGGCCTTTCCGAGATCTTTGCGCCCGTTTAAATGCGCATTTCTTGGATTCGCTTGCCAAATGGAGAAGCTAAAAGATTTTCTTGTCATAAAAAGGGTGACGGAATCACATGTGAGACGGCAGAAGCTTAACGTTCTTGCATTCAAATTTGTGTTCCTCGATCGTCCTTTTGGCCAATGCTTGAGGTCGATCAGGCAGATTGCCACTGCGATGACCGTCATGTCTGAGCTTGCACTGACATTGTTTCCGATGTTGATGTGCAATGGCAGCTTCTACGTCGACGAGACCCCGATCCGGGAGGTGGTGCGGACGGCGGCGATGGGCGCGGCTTTCCCGTCCAAGCCCATGTCCCTGTACGCAACCATCTGGGACGGCTCGGCCTGGGCGACGCTGGGCGGCCGGTACCGCGTCAACTACAAGTACGCGCCGTTCGTGGCCGAGTTCGCCGACCTCGCCATCCAGGGTTGCGCCGTCGACCCCACCGACCGCTCCTCAGCGGCCGCCGCCGCGGCAGCGGCGTCGTGCGGCGCGGGCCTGGGCCCGCTCGCCGTGTCCTCCGCGGAGCAGCGCGCGGCCATGGCGGCGTTCCGTCGCGCCCACACCTCCTACTCCTACTGCCACGATCGGCGGCGGTACCCCGTCGCGCTGTCGGAGTGCGTGGCCGCCCGCGCGGGCGCGGGGCTCCTCCCCGGCCGCATGTTCGGCCCCGACGGGATGAAGCTGCAGCACCGGCGCCACCGGGCCGCGCAGCGCGGTCACCGCGCCGCCCAGGACGACGTCATGTGATCACCGGTCCCGGCCTGCGCCTGCCTGACTGCCTCGTCGCGGCCGCGGACTGAGGTTCTAGGCCGCGATGTGTGAAGGCGGCGTGGCGGGGATGATTGTATGCGGTGGGTTGGGGGATGGCCGGGGATTGTCCGGGATGGAAGCTCGCCTCGCATTGTACCATTCGCCATTGGAGTAGGTCGTGTTTATTGCTTGTGCTGGACCCATATCCGTGCCAATGCTTTCGAATTGCCAAGCCGTAGCCGTTGATGAAGAAAAGCCATCGCTGGCCGCGCTTTACCTCTGGCGTTAAAAGGTTAAACGCTGTCTCGTGACGCGGCGGTGGTGTCGCGGTCGGGGGGACCCGTGAGGTGGGGGGCTCCGCCGCCTGCACGCCTCTTTGACCTTAGCGATGGCTCGTCGCGTAGCGTTGCGTTGATGAGAGCGACGACGGCGGGCGCCGGCCCAGCTGGGGTAAAGAGCTGCACATGAATGGCCTGCGCCGCTGCGCGTCAACGGGGAGGCGTGCCCGTGTGCCGGAGGGGAGGGAGGGACCGACCCCCGAGAGAGGGTGTCTCGTCTCGTCGGAGGTGGAAGGAAAGAACCTCTTTTTTTCCGGGGACACGACGAACGGATGTTCCTGCGGTGCTCGCGCCCGTCACTGTTCCCAAACGGGGAGGAGGCCTATCGTGCGTGCAGTGCAGTATACTCCTGATCAACTTCTGGGTTATCACCAGTAAAAAGCAGTAAGGGCCTGTTGGAACGCCGGAAACACGCAAGAATTTTACACGAATCAGTTCAGAACAGAAAATATTTTCCACATTCCAAACAGGCCTAAATGCTTTGTCAAAACTCAACAGGCGTGCACTTATTTTTCTCCGTTTCACAAAGGCAAAACACAACATTTCCTACTAGTACTCCCGAATTAACCGTAGCAGTAGTATACAAAATTGAAGAGCTCCACAGCGCATGGTGGTAATAATCACTCACGGCTTGCTAAGCTATGGGTGATGATGGGTCAGGCAAGTGCACGGGTGTTGCGCTGCGTGGGCACCTGCTGAACGCTCGCTCACGGCTGGTTTGGTAACCAAAATCGAGGACGGGAGGCTGCGAGAGCAGGTGATGTCTCCGTGTCTGTCCAAACGGCATTCCTCCCGATGCAGGGCAGGGCAGCCAGCACGCAGCCCAACCCACCACAGCGTCCGTTTGTGCAGGTTTTCGTGGATCAGCGGCATGAATCCCTCGATTTACAGCAAGCCTTGATTCCTTCCTTGAGATGCAGGCCGCCTCGATCGCTTTCAAGGCTCTTCTGAAACGCAGCAGCAAACGTAGCGTCGCATATGGCGCTGCTGCGGTGCCTAAGGCGGGCTAGCTGGCTGTTCGCTGTCCAGAATTGGGCTGAGGAAACCTGAAATGCCAGTGCCCTTTTTAACAACTTCGATCAGTGGCACCAATGCTTGTACTGTACGTCTACAGCCTACAGGTTTAGTTAGGTGACACTGTGCTCCTAAGAGGAGAACACATGCCTGCAACTCCTAAGAGTAGCTCCAATCCATGTCCTGCACTCAGCAGTAGGGCCATCCAGCGATGTTTGCAGGGGATTGGAGGCAGTGTAAAACTCATCTGTTGGACATACGGAGTACTCCGTAGAGGCCGCGTCTCTTTTTCTCTCTGCAGACCCCACAGGCACCTACATGCATGCACCGCAACTTGCCTTGCCTGCAAAGAGCAGAGACACAGAGCTTGCAGAGGACCACGGCAATGCGTCAAGAGTGCTAGGACCAGCGTTGAGCATGGCATCGTTTCAAGTCTGGAGTTGGAAACCAGGGTTTGTGCTCATGCAAAACACAGCAGCTCTGGAGGGATGCGAGGGCGTGAAGAGATTCTTCGCTTTCTTCAAGTTCAGCATCCTTCGAGACTTCTTTGGGCCACTACGAATAAGGGCCTGTTACTTACGAGACAGGTCACAATGAAAGCCCGAAACTAAACAGACCTGCAAATTCTTTTTGGTACCGAATTGCCGGCCCAGATTCTACTGCCATTGGGCACATCATGGCTCATGAGGCACGCTGCGCCTTTGTCCCTTTCCAGGACCCGGCCCATCCCGGAGCTGAGTCGGGCGCAGCCGCCAGCCACCATCAGACTTGGGCCCATAGAAGGACACAGGCACGTCCGCATATCGCCACGATCACCGTGGACTAGTTCATCAATCAATCAATCTAGTGCACTATTTAGCACATGGCTAAGCTATTTTTTTTCTTGTTTTTTATATTAGAAAAAATTCCAAATTACCCCCCTCAAATTTAATACTCCCTCTGTCCACGAAAAAAATTGCAACTATGGGTTGAGTACCAGAAAAAATAGTTCACATTTGACCAAGTTTCTAGTGAATAGTATTTATATTTATGGCTCCAAATCAATTTATTATGAAAATATATTTCATAACTAATCTAATAATATTTATTTGATATCATAAATATTGATATTTTTTTATCTATAATTGGTCAAACTTAAGATACTAAAACGTGACACTGTGCTAGAATTGCATGTTTTTCACTGGACGGAGGGAGTACTTGTTCAGATAAGCCCTAAACTAATATTTGGTTTCATTTATTTCCCGACTATTAGAGTTCTTCCGGTTTACCCTTCACAAGATTAGTTATTTTTGTTTCTTCGCATATAAATTGAGTTTTATTATCAAATTTATGAGGTGACAGAGGACATCATAAGTTATGTTAGAAAAATATATCACCACTATTTTATTTTGATAGGTTCTGATTTTTAATAATAAATTAACAATAGAGATACAATATGTACAAAACATAATGATGGAAAATCCATAATGTATTTTTCTAACACAAAAATATGATGTCCTCTATCACCTCACAAAATTTGAAACTAAAACGCGATTTGTACATAGAGAAAAAAAATTTTTTTTAAGGTGTAAAGTGGACCAAGTAAAATAGTTGGGGGAAATAAATTGAACTAAATGTTTGGTCATGCATGAATTCAAAATTATGATATGCATGATTCATCATCTTCTTTTGGCCTTCATGTTGCTTAATTGCTAAGTCCCTTTGAGTATAGCCTATATGAAAATGTTTTGAGTTGTCATTTATCAAATACATTTTAATTTCTTATAATCTATAAGGTCCAATTTCTTATAATTATTGCATCCATGAATCACCCTGTCCTCTTGGTCTTCATGTTGCTATACATACGTCCAGAACGCATGTGGCAGAACCACCTAATCTAATGCCTCACAGGATTGCTCGTCTTCCATTAAACACTAAGCACTCAAGGGGGACATCAAATTACACGTTTCCGTCAGGCACACCCCAGGGAAGAACCCGAAAATCCACATTTTCCCATTAGGATCATAAATGAGAGAATAAAGCTTACATCATTCTTAATAATTTCTTACATCACTTTTAACACAACATCAGAGTATAATATTTATTATTTATAATAGCGGAACATGAATATGTTATCAGAGTTATGAACAATTTAAATTAACAGGGGAATATAAATATGTGATCCAGGATTACAACGGAATAACTATTAATGGCATGATGAAGCAATGATATATAACAACGACAATAGATTACAAAACTTTTATTTAGAAAAACATTTAGTGAGAGTTATAAATAATAACTATGATCGCAGCGTAAAGAAAATCCTCTCTGAGCCCACCAGGAGGAATCCACACACAAGGGTCAGCTCTAGCATCCACCTGTCACCTGCAACAGGGGAAAATAAAACCCTGAGTACTCAATTGTACTCAGCAAGATTTACCCGACAGGAGGAAAGAAAAGACTCTAAGGATATGCAAGGCTATCAGGCTTGTGGGTTTATTGCATCTGCAGGAGCATTACTAAAAGTGCATCTTTATATTCAATTTTTATTAACAGTCGCATTAGTTCATTAACCAACTATTCTATGTAAGACCTGTGCTACTTTCAAATAGGTGGTAAGCAATCAGATTTTCTTTTTCCATCATTCATCTTTCAGTTCTTACTACGGTGCTAGAGTTTAGACAAGTCGTACCGGAACGCCGACAATTCATGAATCAATGCCCCCAGCTGGGTACCCTGAAAACACACGCCCCACTTGTACCCTGGGCACAAGTAGGACCAACCCACTACCCGCCTGTCATGGGGTCCAGGTCCTCGTCCAAACTGGGACTCCAAGCCCCCGCCCCTGAGTCCCGGACTCAGTGCGGTGCAAGGACCTCCTAACCCAAAAACCACCATAACAGTCGGTCCGAAAAGAACCGGAACCCATGATAAGAGAGTAACAAGTCTTCCAAGCGCCCATCCCAAGTATGTGCTCGGGATAATAAGTTTGTGACTTGCCTAGCCTCTTATGCAACGGCCTGTCCTTAACCGACACAGACAGGGAAAGCAATGTAACCAAGCTATGCCCCGTGGCCGCAGGACACAACCTGTTACACCCATCAATACCCAAACCATATCCCTGTCCGATCACCATTTTCTTTTCCATCATTTATATTTTCCAAGTGATAATAATACAGTAATATATTTCCTAGCTCTCGCGAGTGACAGGCAATCACTCGACTTCTACTGGAGTCCTATAGCATAGCAATCTATATGATCCTATCATACTAGTAAGACTCATAGGATAAGGATATATATATATATGTATGTAAGTGGGTTTCATTCAACTCCTTAAAACTTAATGCACAAATATAATTTAAAAGTACAGAAAAGTAGGGGTTATTGTAACACCCTCTGTGTTACATTGTATTATTCCTGCTAAGCATTTCATGAGCATCCTGATTCTGTGCATATGTGTATAACGTGATTGTAAATTGATGTTCGGCTCTTAAAACATTCATATGAAGCATGAGACAAATGTTACGTTTCATATAAATTTGTTTAGTATTCTAATCGAATTGTTGTCGAAATAAAAATGTTATAGGACGTTTGGCTAACGGCGATGAAATTGGTGTGGTCGCGGACAAGGATAGCTGGTTAGTACATCGAGTAGGCCGGATTTGG